CTTTCTGTTGTCTGACAGCCCTGCTGATCGCCGTCAGCACTGCTGTGGATAAGATTATCGCCCACTTCAGCACTGCGCGGAACCTGGTGCAGAAGGTGAGGGTCTGGGCCGAGGCTGCGACCGGGCTGGGGTGGGCAGGAGTGAGGGCAGGCCATGCAGCTTTGGGCAGGAGGGGCTTTGGGAGCTCCCTCCCTGCAGCTCAGGGCTAGGTGCTGCTGTTCCCCTCGCCCTCCTCTCCTCCTGCCTCCCTACTTCAGGCCCAGCTGGGGGACAGCCGGCTCAGCCCAGATGTGGGTTACCTGCTGCTGCACACCCTCTGCCCTGCGCTCTATGCCTTGGTGGAGGATGGGCTGAAGCCATTCCAGAAGGATGTTATCACAGGCCAGAGGAAAAATTCTCCCTGGAGCGTGGTGGAAGCCTCCGTGAAGACAGGTCGGTGTGAGGAGCGTGCTCCTGGAGGTGTTGGGATCAGCATCTCGAGGTGCCTGGAGTCCCCTTCCAGCCCGGGCTGGGGGAGGACGTGCCCCGGGAGCAGTGACGGTGCTGTGTATTCTGCAGGCTCCAACACCCGCTCTCTCCACTCCCTGTGCTGGCACGTGGCCGGGCTGGCCCCTCTCAACAGCGCCAGACAGAAGTTTCATGCCTTTATCCTTGGCCTCTTGAAGTGAGTATTGGCCGTTAATGGCCCAGGCCGTCCTTGCTGCGATGGCAGGTTGGAGCAGAGTCCCAAGAGCTCTAACGTGGGTTCCCTTTGTCTTGTTTAGCATTAAGCAGCTGGAGCTGTGGATCTCTCACCTGCAGAAGAGCCCAGGTAAGGACGCAGTGCCCAGAAGCTCCCCACCCAAGTCCTCTCCTACTTGCCAGGGTGATCACCCCAGACCCGTTCCACCCACAGTGCTTGGCTAGGGTTTCCGTAGTGGGCAAGGGCATCGTTTTCCATGGCTGTCGTACTGGATGAGGGCAGTCAGGCAGACAATTTGGAGTGTCAGTGGGACGGCCCAGCTGGCCTGGGAGGGATGTGTGTGCGGGCAGGGCATTTTGCAGCTGTCCAGCGCTGTCCCTATCTCCTAGGTGTCATCTCCGTGCTATACTCACCCATGGCCTTCTTTGCCCTGAGCCAAGGCCCTCTTCCCCACCTTGCTGATGAACTGCTGCTGCTCATCCAGCCCCTCTCAGTGCTGACTTTCCACCTCGACCTGCTCTTTGAACACCACCACCTCTCTGTGGATGTAAGACCCTTGTCCCGTCGCCTGGAGTCACCCCTGTCTCCTGCCCGTCACGCCGCTCAGGCCCGGGGGGCTGTGCCGCCTTCTCTGGAGGGCCAAAGCAGTGCTGCAGGGGCAGGCCTGGCAGACGAGATCCCCCCTGATGAGGGCAGCCGGTGCAGAGGGCAGCACGAGGTCCCAGTCCCCGGCAGCTGCGCGCGGGCTGGTTCCTGGCCCACAGGTGGGGGCTGCCCTGCAGCAGACCTTCCAGCACGTGCTGCGGTGGGGCGACCAGCTCAGTCGCGCTTTACTGGGAGCTGACAGCTCCCAGGAGACCCACAAGCCTGAGACAGGCCCTCAGGACGCCGAGGCTGGCCTCATTGGCTGGTGGGGCCAGCTCAGCCAGGCCTCCAGGATTTACGCTGCTCCTAGCAAGGAAAAGTTCCCCTTCGTCTGGTGGACAAAGCTGCGGACGGCTACGGGAGATTCCAGCCCCGGCCAGGCTGCACGCCCTCAGATATCCGTCGATGAGCCTAAAGGCACGGAGCTGCAGCTCCTTCAGACCAAAGCTATCCCAGAACTCTCCGGTCCAAAGCCCAGCAGCAGTGCTGACACCTCTGGGACCTCCTCCCCTGAAGACCTTATCCTGCCTGCGGGAGCTGGAGCACCCACCAAGCCAGACGATCCTGCTGCTGGAGAGAAACTCCTGCCTGCTTCCCCAGAGCTTTGTGTGAACAGGAACCAGGCAGCCCCTTCCACCCCAGAGCCCAGCAGTCCTGGGCCTGACAAGGGGAGCTGGCTGGGCCGGCTCTTTGGAGCCACCAGCCCCTCTGCCAGGAGCTTCCCTCCCCGTCCTGACACCATCTCAACTAGGTCCAGGTAAGACCCAGCTTGGGCTGGCAGACTGGGGGAAGCGGCATGTGCTGAGGAAGGTTTGGGGTTTTTTTTTTTTTTCCTCCCAGGCAGTATGCGGAGAGCGCACCACGGGGCTCGCTGACCTCGTGGGCTGTCTTGTACTGCCCCTTATCCGGGTTGTGCTCCTGGGCCGTTGCGCTGTGCCGGGGGACTAGCATACGTTGCCTCAGTCGTTTAGAGCAGCAGGAGCTCGTGCTGGAGGCTCGGTGGTACTTGGCAGAGCCCTTGTCAGCTCCCAGATCACCAGGATAGTGTTGTGAGCAGAACGGGTGGGAAAAGGCTGCCAAACGACCTCGTGGCTTCCTTTGCTTTGTGGCAGGAGACCCTCTAGCTGGTTGTCCCCCAGCACGCGTGTCCTGGCCGTGATGGTGAAGGGGCTGGCGTCTGAGAAGACCCGTGATCAAGAGCAGCCAGAGAGAAATGTGTCCGACACATCCCAGACCCCCAGGTGATGCGGGGCACCGTAGTGTTTGGGGCTGGAAAGGTGGTGGTGGATTTTTTTTTTTTTTGGAGGGGAAGCTGGGGCTGTTTCCAGGCATAGCCTACGCGCTTTTCTAGGGCAAGGCTTACGGCACTCCGTGTCACTACCTTGCACCTTGACTGCTCCCCTGGGGATTCCTCCTGTCTCCTGCTGGGCTCTGGGTGAACCTGGGTGAACCTAGTTGTGATCAGTTGTTTTTCCCAGACATTTTTTGGGGGGATTTTGAGCATTTTCTTTCTCTTGTGTGCTTTCTGGATTCCTAGCAGCTTGTTTGGTCCAACTATGTGGCAGCTCTGACCCAATTGTGGCAGGTCAGAAAAGCTGCGGTGGTCTGTCTGTGCTTGCGCAGCGTCTGTGCTTGCGCAGCATCTGTCCAAGCGAGCATGGAGGACGAGTGGCCGTCCCACGCCACGTTTGGCTGTCTCTCTCCTCCCCAGCTCTTGCTGGTCATGACGTAGATCTCCCCCCGCGTCTGCGCCAGCGCTGTCACGCTCTGCTGCTGCGCCGAGGGTCTGCTGGGCAGGGCGATTCTGTGATGTGGCGTCTCCATCAAGTCCATCGGCAGATGGCATCTCTGCCTGCGGCAGAGGGGGTCACTGGCTCCACACATGAGCGTCAAAACCTCTCCCAAGTCCTGGGGAAGTGTCTCTCAGTGGTCCCTGGGGACATGAATCCCTGATGGTGTTTGTTTGCAGGGCGGTTCGGGCACTCTGTGACCACACAGGCACTGCTGACGGTCACCTGAGCTTCCAAAAAGGGGACATCCTGCAGCTGCTCTCCACTGTGGATGAAGACTGGATCCACTGCTGCCATGGAAACAGCACTGGCCTAGTTCCTGTCAGCTACACATCCCTCATTTTGTGAGGAGGCAGAGGAGACCTGAGGAAGCAGCTGAGCTTGCTGAAGCAGGTGCCACCTCTGGGAAGGACGGTGTCCTGTCACGTCTTCACCTTTGGGGCTTCACCACCTTCGGGGCTGGCAGTTCCGCAGGGGACGCTGTCCTGGTGCCCATCGCTGCTGCTCGTTTGCATGACGTTGCCGTCTGCCGTGGGTGCGTCCTGTGAGCCACCGCTGTGTGCGTCCCCGCAGATCTGCTGGCACTTCACTGCAGCCCCCCTTTGGGACCTGCTCTCGCTCACGTTTCCTCAGCCGCTGCCCACGCCTGTGCCAGGGAGGGAAGGACCCTGTCCCTGGGCGGTACTCACAGTCCCGTATGTCGTCTCTGTGCCGTTGTGTCCTGCCGCCACCTCCACGTGCCCTGCTTTGCCCCGTGGTCGGGGCTGGTGGCCCAGGCCACCAGTGTGCAGTCCCAGCACTCTGTAAATAGTTGTAACCACAGGAATGAGCTTATTCCAGAGAGGAGAGGAGAAAAAAAAAACCAAAACAAAACCCCAAAACCTGGAAATAAAGGTTGTGACTCACGTGTCTGCATGTGTGAAGGGATCATTGCGGTTGGGGGAGGCTGGAAATGGCCCCATGGCCCATCCCTGCGGGGCAGCCCCGTCTTTGGTGAGTAGAGGCTCTTGCAGGCAAAGCCCGCGCGGACTGGGGCCGTGCTGGTGCTCAGCATACCCGCATCAGACAGCAGCCTCAGAGCCCAGAGCAGTGTCAGGCCCTGGCAGAAAGCTCC